GTCTGAACGGTTCCGGTACCGGCAGGGGGGGGGGGAGTTTTGAGCGGTTCCGGTACCGGCAGGGGGGAGGTGTACTCGGTGTCGGTGTGTTACCTGGAGGCCAGGCCCGGGGCGCGGCCCGCTCGGATAGCTGGGTGCCGGGAGGGGGCGGCGGTCCTGTGGCTCCGGCTCTCTGTGCAGCGTCTCGCGGGAATCTCCTCACACCGAGCTCAGCGACCCTCACTCACCGCGCGCACTCCCGCTCTTACACCACCGCCCCGCGACGCTCATTGGCTGCCGGCCGCGTTCCCGCCCGCTGCGATTGGCCAGCCTGGCACGTCAATCAACTGATCTCGGGCTCCGATTCGGCGACCTGTCCGGAGGTGGAGAAAAGGGGCGGGGCCGCTGCGGAGCAGGGAGGGGGGGAGACCGGACGTGTCCTCGTGAAGGCGCGCGCGAACCAACGAGACTACACACAGTGACACGTGCTAGAGCCCCGCCCCTTCCCCTCTACTCACTCAATGTCGAGGCTCGCGCGGGTCACAGCAGCCCCGCCCACTATTGTGACACGAGTCGACGTCACCGGAAAAGGCGGGAGCTTAGCGGTAATTGAAAATAACAATACGTCATGAAATGGGGGCGGGGCTACCGGCCGGGATAGGGGATTACTGACTAAACCTGACCGAGCCCAATGCACACACTGTAACCAGAGCTAACCGGAAACAGAACCTGGCGCCTCATATTAACCCCTTACCGACCGAGCCCAATGTACACACTGTAACCAGAGCTAACCGGAAACAGAACCTGGCGCCTCATATTAACCCCTTACTGACCGGGCCCAATGCCTGTAACCAGAGCTAACCGGAACAGAACCTGGCTATATATTAACCCTTACCGACCGAGGCCCAATGCAGCACTGTAACCAGAAGGCTAACCGGAAACAGAACCTGGCTTCATATTAACCCTTACCGGCCGAGCCCAATGCCGCACTGTAACCCAACTGGCGGAAACAGAACCTGGCTATATAATAACCCCTTACCGACCGAGCCCAATGTACACACTGTAACCAGAGCTAACCGGAAACAGAACCTGGCACCTCATATTAACCCCTTACCGACCGAGCCCAATGCACGCACTGTAACCAGAGCTAACCGGAAACCGAACCTGGCGCCTCATATTAACCCCTTACCGACCGAGCCCAATGCACACACTGTAACCAGAGCTAACCGGAAACAGAACCTGGCGCTATATTAACCCCTTACCGACCGAGCCCAATGTACCCACTGTAACCAGAGCTAACCGGAAACCGAACCTGGCGCCTCATATTAACCCCTTACCGACCGAGCCCAATGCACACACTGTAACCAGAGCTAACCGGAAACAGAACCTGGCGCTTCATATTAACCCCTTACCGACCGAGCCCAATGTACACACTGTAACCAGAGCTAACCGGAAACAGAACCTGGCACTTCATATTAACCCCTTACCGACCGAGCCCAATGTACACACTGTAACCGGAGCTAACCGGAAACAGAACCTGGCGCCTCATATTAACCCCTTACCGACCGAGCCCAATGCACGCACTGTAACCAGAGCTAACCGGAAACCGAACCTGGCGCTTCATATTAACCCCTTACCGACCGAGCCCAATGCACACACTGTAACCAGAGCTAACCGGAAACAGAACCCGGCGCTTCATATTAACCCCTTACCGACCGAGCCCAATGTACACACTGTAACCGGAGCTAACCGGAAACAGGCTTGAGCGCCATATTAACCTGAACCGAGCCCAATGCACACACTGTAACCAGAGCTAACCGGAAACCGAACCTGGCGCTTCATATTAACCCCTTACCGACCGAGCCCAATGCACACACTGTAACCGGAGCTAACCGGAAACAGAACCTGGCGCTTCATATTAACCCCTTACCGACCGAGCCCAATGTACACACTGTAACCGGAGCTAACCGGAAACCGAACCCGGCGCTTCATATTAACCCCTTACCGACCGAGCGCAATGCACGCACTGTAACCGGAGCTAACCGGAAACAGAACCTGGCGCTTCATATTAACCCCTTACCGACCGAGCCCAATGCACACACTGTAACCGGAGCTAACCGGAAACAGAACCCGGCGCTTCATATTAACCTCTTACCGACCGAGCGCAGCCCATGCACGCACTGTAACCGGAGCTAACCGGAAACAGAACCCGGCGCTTCATATTAACCCCTTACCGACCGAGCCCAATGCACGCACTGTAACCGGAGCTAACCGGAAACCGAACCCGGCGCCTCATATTAACCCCTTACCGACCGAGCCCAATGCACGCACTGTAACCGGAGCTAACCGGAAACCGAACCCGGCGCCTCGTATTAACCCCTTACCGACCGAGCCCAATGCACGCACTGTAACCGGAGCTAACCGGAAACCGAACCCGGCGCCTCATATTAACCCCTTAACGGCACAAGCAATGTTTGCATTTTCTTGCTGTTTGTGTTCACCCGCAATTTGTATCTCTCTCATTTATTGCACCAACACATATTATATATCGTTATTTAGAGGACAGAAAGGGCTTTAATTTGATGTAACACACACACATATATATAAATGCCTATTTATTATAAAAATACAGAAAAATGCAAAAAAAATGAAAATGTGATTTTTTTTGAAAGTTTTTGCAATAATAATGTGTGCCTAATTAGTGCAGGTTAAAGAAAGTAATTAAAAATAAATGAATTTAGTTGTTTTGATTTACAGAATATATAATGTGTCTGGGATTTTCAGTTTTTTTTTGGTAGTTACAGTACAGGTCACAAAGCACAAGGAGTAAAATAAACTTTTTAATGTGGAGCGATTTTAGAATTTGCTATGTTTGTCTTGTAAGCTTAATAGCCATAAACGAAAACAAAATTGCCACACAAAAGTATATATTTATATAAAGTAGACATCACAGGCTATTTACCTAAGGTGGTTTTGACACTTTCTACGTAGCCATTTCACCGCCAATCTCTGCTAAATATTGGAGTAAAATTTAGTTTTTGGGGGTTTTTGGCACACAAACTTATAACAAAGAAATTCTCATGTGTATTTTATAATGTTGGTGTGTGCTATTCCTGTACAAAGTTTTATTTTGTGTTCAGTTACATCTGCTGAGTAAAATGACACCCCCATTGTATGTCTTTGGCACTATTTCGTGATGCTATAGCGCCATATAGGAGACCTGTCCTTTTCAGTATTCACAGTAGAATTTTGAGAGACAGATTTAATGAGCCTATGCTTCCATTTGGGGTATTATAACAGTTTGACTGTTCAAAAAAAAAACCCACAAAGGCCTAGCATTTGTAAAAGTAGACACTCCAGGGTATCTCATAAGGTGCATATTGTGCCTTAACATGCCCCCATTTTTTCACCAATATATGCCAACGTATGTGGTAAAAAATAATTTTGGCCATTTTTTACATACGGATGGGCATTTTGTATATTTCATAAGTGCCACTAAGTTCAAACCCCCAAAATTATGCTCACCTAAGTCTTCTGAGTAAAACAATATGCCCAATGTATGACCTAGACACTATTTTGTGAAGTTACACTGCTGTAAAAGAGACGTGACAAGTTCAGGTTTTTACGTGTGAATTTTTATGGAGGGTTTTAATGCGTCCGTGTTCCACTTTGGAGCACTTGAGCAGGCTACATATTACAACTACACCATAAAGCCATGCCATTTCTTAAAGAACACATCCCAGGGTATTTCAAAAGGCATATTTTGAACCTTAGCGTGGGATCATTTTTCCGCTAGCTTGTACCAAGTGTAGTGGTAATAAGCCTTTCTTAAAAAAACTTTTTTTTACAGATTTAAAATTTTTCTAAGCTTTTTTTACCGTTAACCCCTAACTAGCAGTAAGGAGCACTAACAGTAAATTCCCCATTTTCCCATAACTCTCACCCACCCCAGCTAGCAAAATATATAATTATAAAATATTTAAATAAATTAATTAAATAAATTGGACTCCTGAGGGTTAAAAAATAAATAAAAGTTAATCCTCAAGGGTTAAAAAAAATTAGATCACAGTATTAATACTGTGATCTGTATTTTGATCACTATAGGCAGTGATCGACTGGCAGGGAAGGGGTTCATTTTTATTTGGACTGGTTAAAGAGTGGTGTCTTTTTTTTTTTTTTTACTTAAATGTTTTTTTTACTTTTTTTTAAACGTAATTTTTTACTTTTTAAAGCTTATTTTAAAACTTTTTTTAATGTTAACCCCTAGTTAGCCTAACACCAAATCCCCCGATTCCCCACTAACTTCCACCCACCCCAGCCAGCTAAATATATAATTTTAAAATATTTAAATTAATTAATAAAATAAATTTAACCCCTGAGGGCTAAAAAAAAAAAAACCTGGCATTAACCCGCAGGGGTTAAAAATTTTTTTTTAAAAATCAGATGACAGTAAAATGTAATCCCTGCCAATTGATCACTGTAGTCAATGATCAATTGGCAGGGAAGGGGTTAATTTTTTATTAAAAGTGATAAAGGGGGGTGGGATTTTAAATTAACTTTATTTTTTTTTCTAACAAGGACAAGATCAGTGATGATCCATCTCCCTGCACTTCACAGTGAACCCGGAAGTGCAGGGAGGCGGAAGGTGAGTATATGGAGCACATGTGCTTGCTCTGACAGCCTGTCAGAGCAAGCACCGGTGCTGGGGCAGCGAGACATCAGATATCTGCGTATGGAACATAATTTAATATGAATCCATATTAAAAGACTGGACATACCCCGTTTGCAATACCTTGGGTTGTCTACTTTTGCGAATGGTATGCCATCATGGGGGTAATTCTTATTCCTGGGCTACCATACGATCTCAAAGGGAACATAACCAATCTGGCGAATTTCAATGTGAAAAAACTGAAACGCAAGCCTTATATTTGACACTGTAACTTTTGAAAACACCATAAAACCTGTACATGAGGGGTACTGTTATACTCGGGAGACTTCACGGAACACAAATATTAGTGTTTCAAAACAGTAAAACATATCAAAACAATTATATCGTCTGTATAAGTGCCATTTGTATGTGAAAAATGCAAAGAATGTCACTTTCATTGACGATATCATCATTGTAATACATTTTACTGTTTTGAAACACTAATATTTGTGTTCAGCGAAATCTTCTGAGTAAAACAGTACCCCCCATGTACAGGTTTTATGGGTTCTATGGGGGCTAAAAGACCTTATTTTGAGGGTGCACGTTCCAGTTTTCAAACTTGGAATTTTCACAGATGGTCATTGTGACAAAAGTAACTTCGCCACTGGCTTTTAGAGGGGCCTGTTTGCCAGTCTCCTACCCTGTGACTATGGCCCCTGCAATAGACCTGGATAAAATACTTTAAAGGATCACTATAGGGTCAGGAACACAAACATGTATTCCTGACCCTATAGTGTTAACACCACCATCTAGCCCCCCTGGGCCCCTCATGCCTCCATAAATATAGCAAAATCTTACTGTATTCAAGCCTGAAGCTATAACTCTGCATGCTGTTTGCCTAAAAAAAAACAAGCAGTCTGCTGACATCATCAGAAGTGGTGGCCTGATCCAATCACAATGCTTCTCCATAGGATTGGCTGAGACTGACAAGGAGGCAGATCAGGGGCAGAGCCAGCATGATTCAAACACAGCCCTGGCCAATCAGCATCTCCTCAGAGATGAATTGAATCAATGAATCTCTATGAGGAAAGTTCAGTGTCTGCATGCAGAGGGAGGAGACACTCAATGTTGTGATGCATTTTAGGCAGCCATGACCCAGGAAGAATCTCTAACAACTATCTAAGCAGCAGCTCACCAGAACAAACTCAATAAGCTGTAATTGTTCTGGTGACTAAAGTGTCCCTTTAAAAAGGCTCTGCTCATGTGAAGTATGTACTTTTGTACTCCACACAGAGAGACCGAGTGGTGTTTTTTCTGAGCTTGGAGATAATTGAATTAGAATTAGTACAGTTACTGATCAGACAGTCCCCCTACTGGCAGCTTCTATAGTCCTATTGCGGCCATGTGATCATGGTGATCACATGGCCCTGGAGGGCCGGGGTGGCCGGAGCTGCTGCAGGGGGACTGCTGGGGTCTTCGGCAGTCCCCCAGACCATGGTTGCCGGTCCAGGTAAGTCCAGGGCTTCTATTTGCCGTGGTCGTACAAGGTAAGTCCGTGGTCCTTAACTTTTTGTCAGATGTACCTAGTACGTCCATGGGCGTAAAGGGGATACACATAGATAGATAGATATAATTTCATGCTAAGTGTATTTTGATATAAATATATATATTAATATCAAAATAAAGTTAGAATAAAATGACATATATATATATATATATATATATATATAAATAAAAAAATAAAAAATTCAAGATGCACTCACAGGTCTTCAAATATAAGGAAAAAACTGGTGCTTTATTAATCCATACGTGATATACAACGAAAATCAATCGACGTTTCGACCCTGACGGGTCTTTTTCAAGATGCAGGGTCGAAACGTCGATTGATTTTCGTTGTATATCACGTATGGATTAATAAAGCACCAGTTTTTTCCTTATATTTGAAGACCTGTGAGTGCATTTAAATATATATTATTGACGCTTAAGATTTGCACCCAGGCAAGTAGTATATTGATTTTCTTTTTTAAGGAGAGTGCCAAGCCATCATCTCATATATATATATATATATATATATATATATATATATATATATATACACATATATACACACGTCCCAGGTCCCAGCACTCAATGCTCCCGGTCTTTTAATGCTCCGGTGCTGTCTCCAACCAAATTGTATACAATACCAGTAGAGAGCACTCAGGAGTCTTTCAAGGTAAATTTAATCTGTTGCTTTATTGAGCAATTTCAAATTCACACAACGTTCCAGTCGACGTTTCAGTCTGTAAAAGACTTTCTTCAAGACCACATCTATACACATATATACACAGTGGGACCTCGGTTTACGAATTTAATGCATTCTACGGGACGTTTCTTATTGCGAAAAATTTGTAAACTGAAACACAGTTTCCCATAGGAATGCATTGAAAACTAAATCCATTCTGGAAGTCAGAAAAAAGTCAAAATGAGCTGGCATGGAAACCAAGCCACAATGCAGAACACACAATAAAAGGCATGCAAACGACGAAGCTCAGCTCCCTACCTTTCCACAGCTTGAGAAATGCACCAAAAGGTCCCAAAACAACTGCAAACAATTTCCAGAATGGCTCCAAAACTCGATGCAAAAGCTACTCCCACACCTCCACACTCGACGCCATGTGCTACCCAGAGGCAGGGCCAGATTAAGAGCCCAGTGGGCCTGGTGCTGACAATTATGATGGGCCTAATTACAGAATCGTATAGACCAAAAACACTAAAACAGTCATACCTCCCAAGCATCATGTATCTGATGGAGATGGTGTTGGAGGGAAACTCAAAGTATGTAGCAATAAAAAAAAGCACATACTCTATGCTAATCTCTCTCTAATTTATGCTTTCATCTTTCAAGTAAATCCATAACCCCTAACAGCAGTGTCCAGTGAAGCAGGAAGTCAATGGGTGGGATAAAAGGGTGGACCACTGACGTGAATCACGTGACCAGAACTGCCAAAAAGGCGAACATGCCCATCCTAGCATGAGTGTCCCTATGTATCACAGTGTCAGTGTCCCCATGTTGCCCAGTCCCATCATCTCCCAGTGTCTGAGTGTCCTCATTTCTCCCTGAGTCCCCATGTCTCAGTGTTTCCCGTGTCACTAGGATACTAGGGGACGCTGAGAGACATGTGGACACAGTGAGACATGGGGACACAGACACCAGGGGACACTGAGACACCAGGGGACACTGAGACACTTGTGGATACAGACATGGGGACACGGGGAGACATGGGGACACTGACCCTGGGAGACATGGGGACACTGAGTCACTAGGGACACTGGCTGGGAGGCATGGGGACCCAGACACTTGGGGATACATGGGGGTACTTGTGGACACAGACACTGGGAGACATGGGGACACAGAGACACTAGGGACACTGGCTGGGAGGCATGGGGACACAGACACTTGGGGATACATGGGGTACTTGTGGACATAGACATGGGGACATTGAGAGACATGGGGACACTGAAAAATTTGGGGACACTGGGAGACATGGAGATACTAGGGACACTGAGAGACATGGGGACACTGGGGGGTGGTGACACTGGGACACTAGGGACATTGGCTGGGAGACACATGGACACTGGGAGACAGATATTTGGGGACACCGGGAGACATGGGGACACTGAGTCACTAGGGACACTCAGAGACATGGGGACACTAGAGACATTGGCTGGGAGACATGGGGACACTGGGAGACATGGGGACACACAGACACTAGACTAGGGACACTGGCTGGGAGACACGTGGACACTGGGAGACATATTTGGGGACACTGGGAGACATGGGGACACTATGGTCATTGGCTGGGAGACATGGGGACACTGAAAAATTTGGGGACACTGAGACACTAGCGACACTGGCTGGGAGACATGTGGACACTGGGAGACAGATATTTGGGGACACTGAGACACTAGCACTAGGGACATGGGGACACTGGGAGACCTGGAGACACTATGTCCCTAGTGTCTCCATATGTCCCTATGCCTCACAGCATCTCCATGTGTCTCAGCATCCCCATGTCTCCTAGTGTCTCAGTGTCCCCATGTTTCCCTGCTGCCTTTCCCCCATCCTTCACTTCCCTGAGCTGTAGTCTGTCTCTACAGGCTGGGAGCTGCTGTCTGAACTCTCTGTGCTGTGTAGCTGCTCCCCTGCAGATCAGTGAGTAGGGAGAGGCAGGGAAGGATATGCTGTAACTTCCTATCCCTGCCTCTCTACACACTCAATGACCCCTACTGGCTGGTGCTGGTATTGCAGAGTAATCTCCGTTTATACTGAGAAAAATATCTGCTATTGTATTGCCGGTATTAGTGCAATACCTGCATGGCCAGGCAGCCTCAAATACCGACTGTGCTGGTAAATTACCAGTCAGGTGGCAACCCCAAGAGTAGTGTGTAAAAAGTAAAAAACTTTTTTTTTTTTTTTTTGAATGGGCCTATGCCATGGGCCTGGGCCTGGAGCTGCAGCTCCATCAGCCCCTATGTTAATCCGGCCCTGCCCACAGGCTCCAGCATGCAGTGGGCGGTGCTATAAACCTCCCAGGTATAATGCATCCTGGGGAAACTTGCTTTGTATTGCGAAACAATTTTGTAATAAGAGGTATTATTTTCAATGGATTTTCATTTGTAAACCGAAAATTATGTTAACCGTGAAATACACATAAAAATGTGTAAAAGTGCACTGTGCAAACAATTGTGTCAAATATTGCCTCTGATCCATGCACACTTATATAATATATTACTCACGTGAGAAAACTCTTACAACAAAAAGGGGAATAGTGCAATAAAATTTCACAAAGGAAATATGAAACTCACAAGTGTAGAGCAGAGACGTTTGCTCTAACTGTACTGGCTCCTCCAAATAATCAAGGTAGAGACTGTTGTAAATAAACAACTTTTATTCAACTTCCAAGGTAAACCCTTGCTACATACAGCCTCCCCTCATTGAGCTTTCCATTGGTACTCCAGTCTAATGCTGGCTTCTGAAAGACTCTGGGAACCGGTTGCTGTGCTCGTATCGGGAGGCGGGACTTCCAACCAGTGTGTCAACGTAATGACGTGGTGACTGTCAGTCACTGCCAAATAGGCCTCTGAAGATGGGGGCTGGGTGGGGTGCTCCCACCTTTTTTTTTTTTTTCATTCTTTGCTTCATATTGCTGATATAAAATGGCCTAAGAAACGTTAATGTGTGAAAGATAAAAGAAAAAAAAAAACAAACATTTATTAAGATAAAAAAACAAACAGATTTTTTTTTTATACGTGATGAAGTATGCTGGAAAATAGATGAGATAGAATAAGAACTGACATGGAAACATTTTTAAATTCATATATTGTGGCCTGAAAACTCAGCTAATTCTCATTTTCTTTACTTCTCATTTGTGTGCGCAGAGCCTAATTCTCTCAGTAAAGAAGCCTTGAAGGCCTTCAGCCTTGGAAAATAACTGTATCAGGCAATATCAACAACTAGACTGGTGCAGACTCAGGAATGTAAGGGCGCTATACGAAAAAATATCACCACAGTTTGGAAATTACCCAAAGGACTTAAGAATGGCATCTGTAGACTATAAAAATGTTACACCGTAAGAAGAACATCCATTTATTTCTCGGTATAATGGAGAAACCCATCCAAGAAGAGAAAAAATTAATTTAGCCTGCTGGGACAGGATTAAAAAAAAAAAAAAATAGCCGTAAATGAGAATAATAACTAGTGATCACTAGAATCATGAAAAGATGATACGTGTAGAATCCTTCAATCGCACGCTTTAGGATACCCATATAACAAAATCAATGCACTTCTTGTTATGTTTAATTATTTCCTACAATAACAGTGGGCAGGGCCGCCATCAGGGCATGACAACCATAACGGCTGACCCTGAGGCTGACCCTGGTGTCACCGGGCGGGCGGGCGCGCGAGGGACACTCTCCCTGGCTGAGTGCTTCCTCTTCAGCTCCCTCGCGCACCGCACTGATGCCGCAGCCGGAAGATGACGTCATCTTCCGGCTCTGGCATCAGTACGCAGCACGCCTCGGGTGACACCACTGGACCCCAGGGAATCCCCTCAGCACTCCCACAGATAGATAGATCCCTACACACATTCTACATCCACTATACACACACCAGAATCAGTACAGACACTGCATCCCTGTGGGCGGACTCGAGGGGTGGGGGGGCAGCACTTTGGGCGGAGTCGGGTGTAGGCATCGGGGGGCCCAGACCTTGAGCTGTGTCAGGGCCCCCAAAATTTCTGATGGCAGCCCTGACAGTGGGTACAGTATGGAGAATCTTCTTGTAATTAATTTTACTATATGGATATCCTAAAGAACGCAGTTGAAAGATTCTATTGTTTCTCACGTCTGTTCATCGATTGTGGAATTATGTTAACCGGATGTATATGGAGAGATGTTCATGGAGGAATGCGAGGGTGATATATGTGGTGGGAGATATACATGAAGATGTGCATGGAGGAATGCGAGGGTGATTTATGTGGTTGAGATGTACGTGAAGGGATGCAAGGTGATTTATTTGGGGAGATGTGCATGGAGGGATAGTTGGGTAATTTATATAAGGTGACATGGGAGAGATGCACATGGAGGGATACAGAGTAGATGTTCATGGAATGATGTGGTGGTAATGTATATGGGTTGTGAGGGATAGCAGAGGTGATGTAGAAGAGATGTACATGAAAGGATGCAAAGTAGTTTTACATGAGCTATTTAGGAACTATGTATGTGGTGGGATACAGTGGAGCTACACATAGGGGCTTGTCCCATATGTCCAGTAATATGTTACCTTTTAGTCCTAGGTGTGACACAATTCTACGTGCTGGATCAATTAGTAATCCTGACATTACAACAGGGCCATAGATCCTGGAGAATTGTGTCAGCACATAGTAGCTTGCGAGAGAAAGCTAGAGGAGAATGATCACCATATGGATCAATTTGCCCAGGCTTTCAGTATACTTCTTACTCACACAGTGCATCGGCAACCTGCGGTTTCTCCAACTATGTCACCTAGTGGCATTGAGACTATTGATGGGAGACCACTCTCTCAACCCTCAATTACCCAGAAAACCTCGCCCATTAACATTTCCATTGGTGCCTTACACAAGGAAGACATAACTTTTCAAGTTATTGCTTCTCCTTCTTGCCCCATCATATTAGGCTTTCCTTGGCTTACTAAACACAATCCTCATATTGACTGGGCTAATAGGGAAATACTGGAATGGGGCAAGGATTGTACTGAGAGGTGTATGCTGCACATCACCAAGAGAGTGGGCATCATTAGTTTACCCACTATGCCTCAAACCTCCGAATTTCCCAAACAATACTGAGAAGTTAAGGAGATATTTAACAAAACTCAGACCAATATTCTACCTCCTTACAGAGCATATGACTGTTCCATAAACCTGCTACCCGGCGCTATGCCACCTAAGGGAGCAGTATATGCATTATATCCACAGGAGAGTAGAATAATGGAGGAGTATATCAAAGACGCTCTTAATAAGGGCCATATACGTAAATAATCCTCGCCTGCTGGTGCAGGATTCTTTTTTGTATCTAAAAAAAGATGGTGAGTGCATTGACTACAAAGCATTGAACAAAATCACCATTAAAAATGCTTACCCCATTCCCCTCATTTCCGAATTGTTTGACAGACTCAAGGGTGCTTAAGTCTTTACTAAACTTGACCTTAGGAGTGCATACAATTTGATAAGGATTAAAGGGCCACTACTGTCACCCAGACCACTTCAGCTCAATGAAGTGGTCTGGGTGCCAGGTCCCTCAGGTTGTAACCCTTCAGATGCAAACATAGCAGTTTCAGCGAAACTGCTATGTTTACATTTGGGGTTAATCCAGCCTCTAGTGGCTGTCTTCCGGACAGCCACTAGAGGCGCATCTGCGATGCTGGATGCGAATGTCGCATCCATCAGGCAGAGCGTCCATAGGAAAGCATTGAGAAATGTGCATGCGGCTCCACTGACGTCGAACGGGGGAGCTGATGTCGGAGTGGGAGGAGAGGTCACCAGCCCGGCGCTGAATTAAAGTAAGTAACTGAAGGGGTTTTAACCACTTCAGCACCACGGGAGGGGGACCATGAGGGTGGGAGCACCCTCAGGGCACTATAGTGTCAGAAAAAACGCTTTGTTTTCGTGACACTATAGTGATCCTTTAAGGAAAACCATGAGTGGAAAACGGCATTTAATACTAGAAATGGGAACTATGAGTATCTCTCTGAGCTGCCGCTGTTCGTATAGCCGAATGCCACGTGGAACAAAAAACGGCGGCCATATTGTTTGCACGGAAGGAGGCAGCGGGACTTGGTCGTGGAGTGTCTGGAACTAAAAATCGGACACTCAACCTCCCGAACCACCACTGAAACTACCGAACGCCTGCTTCCTTTAGTTGCCGAACAGCCAGGAGAGCGCAATTCGGTAGTTCGGTTCATAGGAACAAGGGGAGCAATCGCTCCTATGAGCCAGGAGGATCCATTTGGGACTTTTATTAGTTTTATGCCTTTTTCTGAATTGACCGATCGCACACACTGAATTCGTGGAACTGTTTTGGGCAGGAGCCTCGTGTGTGGTCGGTAACTTGTGTCTTCCATACTTTTTAAGAACCCCTGAACCTATCTGGGTGAAATATGGATATGTTGGTCCCCCAGATCGAGGCTATCTTTGTGGGGATACCTTGTGTGGAAAAGGGTGTTCTAATTTTGGGGGAAATTGTGTGCCCTCTGCCTGGAGATAATTATTATTCCTTAACTTATCTCAATATCTCCCAGTCAGAGAGAGGGCGGGGGTTACTGTAAATCTGTATGTTGATTGGTTATGGTCTTTGTTTACTGTGGGAGGTCCTCTTGCCACACTGGCTTTTATGAGAAATCCTCCTGCATCAATAAACTTCATTCCTGTTACACCCTTCATGAAGTCTAGGCTCATGTTTGGGGAATATTCTACTTGCTGGGGAGAATCATGTTGGAAGCTGCATTCATCTACACTATTCCTCTACCTCCTAACTGCAGTTATAATCACTTATGCTCAGCTGTTGGGAAAGGAATAGAAGACCGCAGTGCCATAACCACTGCAGGTCCTAACAAAAGGTTTATTGGGTTTGCAAATTATTACAGGATATTTATTAAAGGGTTCTCTTCTGTGATAGCCCCCATCACTAATATGACACGCAAGGGGGCTAGCAATACGATATGGTCTAAAGAGGCTAGAGAGGCTTTTGAACTCCTCAAACAAAGATTTGCCTCGGCTGACATATTGAGATACCCTGACACAAGCAAACCCTTCATACTGGAGGTTGATGCATCCGAAACAGGGGTAGGGGCTGTTCTAATGCCAGAGGGAAAGTCAGGATACCCTTTTACATTCGTGTGGTTACTTCTCTAGAAAGTTATCTCCTGCTGAACGCAATTATGACATTGGCAATAGTGAATTGTTGGCCATTATACTTGCGCTTAAGGAGTGGCAACATCTTTTAGAGGGTTCCAAGGACCCCCTTTTGATCATTACTGACCATAAGAATTTTGCCTATAGAGGGGATGCTAAACGACTATCTTCTAGACAGGCTTCCTCTCTCTTTCTAATTACTTACAGACCTGGTCCCAAAAACGTAAAAGCAAATTCCTAATCCAGACAGTTTGATACTGAATCGGTACAGTGACAAAAGACATCCCCTATTATTCCATTTGAATGTATCATCACTTCCATTGGCCTGAGCTGTTTATAAATACAAGTTTGCTATTATTTGTAAAAATTACTTGGATCAAATAGTAGAAAGTACTACTGTAATATTGCTTTTTACCAGATGGCTACATTTAATTAACATTTTAATCATAAAATTATAGTATGTCCTACATTGCCTAATGCCATTAAAACGATCCTTGCATTGTTACTGTCAGGATTACTAGTTGATCCAGCACGTAGAATTGTGTCACACCTAGGACTAAAAGGCAACGTCTTTCCGGGCCTTAGAATGGCCAGACAACGCACCAAAGAATAGTCAGAATACTTGCCGAGGTCAGGGGGTATAGAATGGGACACAACGTTAGCGTTGTTTTTATTTATAAAATCCCCAGACCAATGGCATGGCTGAAAGGGCTAGCCAGTCTCTCGAATTATGCTTGCGTTGTTTTGATAATAGCACTCAAGGTAATTGGTCCGAATT